TCTGCTCCAGGGGTTTTCAGCCTTGGCTCTTCTGACATTTAGGGTCGGTTCATTCTGTGTCCTGGGGGTGGGGGCACTGTCGTGTGCATTATAGGGTATTGAGCAGCTTCCACCCATGAGATGCTGGTAGCATCACCCCTTCAGTTATGACAACCGGAAATGTTTCCAGACATTGCCACATGTCCCCTGGAGGGCAAATCGTTCAATCCCATTTGAGAACCACAGACTTACTCCACAATTTCATTGTTTCGTTTTAGGGAGAGTCTGGGACCTTCCACTGGGAAGGGCTAGGCATGCAACTCAGGCTGGGCCAATAAGAGTCCTACATCCCCCAGCTGTGGATTGGTTCAGCAGTAGACATGTGACCCATCATGGACCAATCGAAATATTCCCCAATCCTTCCTTATTTGCTTTATCTAAGTGTGTCCCACTGATGGTTTATTAGTTGCAAGGAGAGAAACCAGAAAGTAATCAGTGGGTAAATCAGGCAACCACCTTGACTAGGTGGATCGAAACTAGCATCACCAGTGATGGCACATGGATCTCTTGTAGGTTAAAATGTGAGGTCCTGAGAGAACGCAGAATCCCTTACGTGGTATTCCAGGAACGACTGCATAAACTGAACCTAATGGCCCCCCAAACCCCAAAGTGTGTCAGAGTGTGACCTAGAAGCCAAAGAAAGGCTGAGGAGGTTTTCCAGATTAAAGGAGGCTACTTTACAACTGCTAAACACAGGCCTGGTCCTAGCCCTAGAAAGGATCCTGTACTGGAGAAAAAAAGAATGTTTAAATGGAGGGTATTCAGCAAGTTGATAAAATTAGAATATTGACAGATTTGATAAAAGCATTGTGTCAGTGTTAAATGTGCAAAGGTTGTAATAACACCTCAGTTATGTAAGAGAAAATAATTATTCTTAGGTGACACAGACTGAAGTATTTAGAGGTGAGCTTTGTGATGTGTGAAATCTATGCTCAGTGGTTATAAAAATAATGTATTAGGTTTATATAGAATAGTATGCAAATGACAAAACAAATAGGAGAAATGTTACCAAATCAGTGAAGATGGGTGATCTCTGTACTATTCTTGCAACGTTCCCATGAGCTTTAAATTATTTCCCAATATTTGTTTTATTGTTTCATTCCTGTAATGAAGAGTCCCCAATTAACAGATGCTTAAATATGACAGATATTTCTCATGTAAAAGCCTGGATAAGTAGTCAAGAATCATCAGACACAAGCTCTTATCTCATTACTCTGACATCTTCAATATATGGTTTCCATCTTTTGATCCAAGATGGCTACTCCAGTTCCTACCATTGTATCTACATTCCAGCCTGTGGGGAAGGGGGAGGAGAGAGTAGAAGCCTGGTTGTGACCTGGAAATGACACACACCTTTACTGTGCTCATCTCATGGACCAGACATTACTCACACGCCTACATCTAGCTGCAAGGGAAGCTGAGAAAATATTTACTTCTTCTAAATAGCCACATAACCAGTCAACATTTAGTAAGAGCAGGAGAATGTATATTAGGAGATATATTGCTACTGCCTTCCTCCCTATACATACTTCTGTGGTTGGAATGTTTGTGTCCCCACAAAATTCATATGTTGATGTTCAAACCCCAATCCAATAGTATTAAGATGTGGGCCCTTTAGGGGGAGATTAGGTCATGAGGACTAAGCCCTCATGAATGAGATTAGTGCCCTTATAAAAGATGTGCAAGGGAGCTACCTAGCCTCTTTTGCCATGTGAGGATGCAGCAAGAAGTCATCATCTTTGAAGCAGAAAGCAAGCCCTCATCAGACTCCATATTTGCTGGCACCTTGATCTTGGACTTCCCAGCCTCCAGAACTGTAAGCAATAAATTTCTGTTGTTTATAAATTCCCCAGTCTAAGAAATTTTGTTATGGCAGCCCAAATATACACATATTCTTGGTTCCATGAGGGCAGGGACCATGTCTGATTTGCCCCCCACAGAATCCCAAATGCCCCAAACAGTACCTGACACTTACAAATGGCCCATCAATTATTGAGTGAATGAAGGTGGCTTGAGAGTTCAGAGTCAGAGAAATTTTAGGAAGACCTTGCATGGAGATGAGACCTCATGGTTCTTGAATAAAGGCAAAATATGGTTATAAACCAAAATGAAAGTTGACCTCTCTCACAGTGATCCCTGAAGACTAATTCAGGATGACAGGCAAATGACCGATGTATTTCTTTATGTGCTTCCTCATGATGGGATGGGGGAAAAAAGAGAATAAAGAACTTAAATCAGAATTTTTTGAGAAAGTGAGTTCCCATTTGTATCATGTTATGATTATACAGATAGAAACTTTCCATCTGTTCAGCTGTGATAGGACAGATTCCCTTGAAAAGAAGTATTCTTGAGTATGGAATGGTCATCAATATCTCTGACAGGGCAACAGCAACAAAAAACATCTAGGCCAGGCATGGTGGCCCATGCCTGTAATCCCAGGATTTTGGGAGACCAGGGCAAGAGGGTCACTTGAGCCCTGGGAACCATATTGAGCTCCTGTCTCTACAAAAAATTAAAAAATTGGCTGGGTGTGGTGGCACCTGCCTGTGGATCCCAGCTGCATAGGAAGGTGAGGCCAGAGGATCACTCAAGCCCAGGAGGTCGAGGCTGCAGTGAGCTGTGTTTGTGCCACTGCACTTCAGGCTGGGCAACAGAGTAAGACCCGGTCTCAAGAAATAAATAAGAAAGAATGAAAATTAAAAAGAAACCACATCTGTGCTAGGATTCTCTGCTTGCAAGCAACATAAATTCATTCAAGTTAATTTAAGGGGGAAACTGAATCTTACTGGAATAATATTGTGTGGCTTAAAATAGTGAGTAAAGAGTTAATAATCAGTCCTTCTAGTAGGACAGCAATCAGAGAAGACTCGTTAATCTCATTGGGGGAAATAATAGACTGTCTCTTCTTAGTGTGGCCATAAGAATGACTGGGCTTTGAACACCTTCAATCCATGTATTGCTCTGCTGAAGATTCAAATTCTTGGGTAAGGAAGTCTGATTGGTCTACCCCAAACCACATAATTATCCCTTTGCTGGCATGAGGGAGGGGCAGAGATGGTGATCAGAAGGAATGGGGTCAGGATAGTTCACCAAAACCATGCAGTGTGCTGTTATTTAGTGGGTGCTGGGCATACAGAAGAGCTATCCTGGACAATTCACCCTTTGGCTTTGTGGAAGAAACAATGCAATTATCCTGGGGAACCTTCTTGAACTACTTTGGTTCGAGAGTAGTCTCCCCAGATTTTTTCTGTACTCCTTGCTGCTGTATATGGTATGTAAGTGGTACGAGGCATGCAGTAAGTTGGCAGACATTCGTGAGAGGCTGGCGGGCAGGAAAAGAAAAATCTAAGCCCAGGATGAATCTCTATTCCATAAGGCTAGAAAACTGCCCTCTCTGTGGTTAAAAGGGACTGGTATGATCAATCTGCTGTCTAGCTGGTGGGGAGATATGGTACCAGTCCTGGCTTCTTTCTCACTCCTGCCTTTCTAGGGGAGGAGTGACTTAAACTCGAGAGCTGGCTAGCCTGCAGACAGCATATATTCATTGCTCTTCACCCTGCAATGTTCTGATCTCCAACAATTAGTGTTTAGATTCAACATCCATTAATCCTTGAGAGGTTTGTCAAAAAGTGGATTAACCATGTAAAAGAAACCCAAGGGCAGGCAGTTCAGCCAGACTCCATAAGGCACTGGGGTGGGTGAGGCACCAGGAACCAGGATTCCCTTTGGCTTTATGGCCTATTTCCTTCTAGGTCTGTTTGTTCATGAGTATACCCAGCCCCAACCCGTATGACCACCTAGGTAGCCCTCACTCTCTTTTGAGTCTGACTGAACACCAGGAACCTATGGGCACCAATCAACTGACACGAGGGAGAGGTCAAGTCTAACAGAATAAGCATAGCAGTAGGGAAGTTAGTTACCCCTTCAACTGGGTGTGGGGTGGAGGAAGGAATTGCCCCAGAGTATAAGGACTGGTCAAACAACCCCTAAAGACACCTACTTCATTCCCTTCCTTTACAGCCTTTTGTAACGCATTATTTAGGGAATCCATCCTTAAAAAGTCCCGACCCTCCCACCCTGACCTATGCTGATGCCCCTTGTCACAGAATGACCATGGAAGCTGTGACCAAAATAGTCAGATGCCACAAGAGATAAAGTTCTAAGAACATGAAAGAATGCAGGACTCTGTCAAACCCTAGTTAGAATTAGTGGCAAGTACATTTTTATATCTTAAGAGCATAATCCAATCATGTGACATGAAGGACATGAATACAATCATCTCCTCTGACTTATGGAATCGGGGACACAGCAGTCGCAAATTGGGTATGGTGCCACCCACTGTGGTCGTCAACAGCGTTCCAGTTAGCAAGTTGGTTGAAAAGCTCTGATCACTATGGAATCACAGCCATGTTTAAAAATTACTATCAGGGATGACAACCTGCTGAATTGCATGGGATGTTTCTGGTGGGGAAGTCAGGTTAAAGTATGGTTAATGAACTTGGGGGAAAACCGGTACCGAGATGACCCACTCAGGATAATTACCTTTTAACCTCAGGCAAGAGTCAGGAATAAACACCTGAGATTATATAATATAGTATTAACACTTTTATGTTAAGGGTTTATTATTTTCTGTGATTTTTTTTTATGTTTGAGACAATCTCACATTTCCAATTAAAAATGCCCACTCAAGTAACTAAGATGTACTTGTGCTCATTATCAAGTTTAAAAACATTGTTGGAACGTATGTTTTAGTTTCATAAGGGCAGTTACAAATGTGACATCAGACAGTATTTTTAAATCCCTTAGAAGTAATCATTGAAATAGATAATACTTAAAAATAGAATAAGATTTGTAAACCAAAACTTTTAGGCTTAAGGAGGGACTAAGTTTTTGGATTTATAACTCTAACAAAAGAACATATTTAACAACCCCAAACACAAAACAGACAAAAGAGACTGGCAAATATTTATTTTTAACTTTATTTTTATTGTTGACACTATTACAGATAGATAGAACGACCACAACCATATTAACAAACCAAAAACCTGTGCACAGAAACAAGATGAAGAAAATATATCAAGATGTTAACCACAGTCTTTGGATGGTGAAATCATGGGTGAGGTTCTCTTCTACATTTCTGTAACTTCGAAGTTTCTATAATGAACACATATTTCATATATAATGGAAATATATGTAATAAAGGCGGACTACCAGAACACTAGAATGATGAAGACCTTTCAAGAAAACCGAGACAAAATAACCATAATCCCACAACAACTACACAACTATTTCTTGTTTTCCATCTTTCTTCCCATCTTTGACACTTATGCATACTTATCATTAACACCCTAATAATCACAGACTAGTGCACAGATCAAGATGTTAACAGTAATTGTTGTTGGGTGTTGGGAATATGAGTGAATTTTCTTTACTGAATTTCCAAACTTTTCTATGAGTATGTATTATATTTGTAATGGAAAAATACATACATAAAATTTATTACCACGACACCAAAGATTATTTAAGGAATTTGAGACAAAATATTTAACCAAGTTCCCACAACGACAACACTATTTTAGCTATTTTCCACATCTTTTCATTTTAGACTTTATGCACACATATTTAACAGTGTTATAATCACAAACTTGTGCACTGAAACAAGACGGAGGAAATAGATCAAGATGTTAGCAGTAGTTGTTGGGTGTTGGGAATATAGGTAATTTTTTAAAATAATTTACTGTATTTTCTAATTTTTCCTCTGGGTATGTATTATGCACACAATGGAGACATACATAATACACTGTTATCAGGACATTATTATAGGGAACATTTGAAAAAATTAAGGTGAAAGTATTTAACCATAATTCCACAAAGGTAACGTAACAAGCTATTTTGAATATACATTTTGACACAGTTATAATCATAAACCTGTGCACAGAAACAAGCATAAACAAGACAGAGGAGACTATATCTGTCTTTGGATGGTGGGAATATGATTTTTTTTCCTCCACTTTTCTGTAATTTCCAAGTGTGTGATAATGAGTTCAAATTATGTTCACAATGGAAATGTGATCATAAACTTTTTAGTAACACTACCATAAAGAACATTCAAGAAATTTAAGAAAATAATGCTCAACTATAAGCCTACAACACCACCACAACAGCTTTTGACTATAAGCATATATTTTTAAACAGTTATAACTGTAGTATAAATATACTTTCATGTCCTGTTCTCTCCACTTAATATTCTGTAAATATATTTCCACGTTGCTACATAACTCGTGATTATCATTTTTAAACAGCTGCATTAAGCGTCCACAGATAGGTTGAAGCAATCATTCTCTTGTTTACCATTTGTTACTACCTTTTCACTAACTTAAGGTTGGAACGGACACTCTTACTTATGGCAAGGTGCTTTCTGAAAAGGGTCTACCACTGCCAACAATGTTAACACCAAGTAACGAACCCACAAAGTTCACCCCGACATCAACATTGATTCTCATTTCAAGAGTCCTCTTCCCATGTAGTACACCTCACTGCCCCTCAGCTTTCCCGATGTCCGTTCCAACCTCAGGTCTTCCTATGCAGCTAGCTCTCACCTATACCATACCATCAAAGGCTCCTTTTCCAAACTGCTCAGGACACCCCACTCAATTCCTTCTCAGCAACCTGGACTTCCACAGTTCTTGCCTCTGGTGTTTTCTTCTGTCTGTCTCCTCTCCCCTCCTAGATCTGGTGATACATTAGGACTCCCTTCTTTGGCTTACTCATTTCTGCTTCTAGCTCTCTGCTCTACAATCTTCCTAAATGTTGACACTCTCTGCATCTTTGACATACTTCCAAGCCCTAATCCTGCAGATCCAGAAGAGTAAGATTCAGACACATTTCCCCCAGTGGGTATTTTAATTTTGCTTGTTCAAATGATCTACACTTACATTTTGCAAATCTTTTTTTTTTAAATTTTTTAAATTTTAAATTTTTTTTTCCAGCCAACTCAAGGCCAAAAAAAAAAAAAAAAAATCTCTTAATATAGTTATTATGCAAGGGTAGGGGAAGCAAAGGAGCACAGGTAGTCCACAGAATAGGACACAGGAAACCTCAAGCTGTGAGGTCAATTTGTGATTAAAAGGAATACTAAGATTAGATGAACGCGACACTCAGAAATACTCTAGGAGAGCTGAAAAAGAAGGAACAGATGTTAACAAAACAAATTAAGGCTGCTGGGGAACCTGAGTCCATGTTAAGCTTGGGTTGACTGTAAAGAAAGCAATTTTTTTTTTTTTTAATGCAAGTTAGACATGGAGTTAGAGGGTCAGATAAATAACGAAGAGAATTAAGTTAGCGATAGAAAGATCTAAGGATACTAGCTCCTGGGCACCTAGGGTGCAAACTGACTTGTGGCAGCATAGGCTGGTGCTGCAAAGGGGACCCAAGCCATGTTGCTACTTGTCACTTAAGGCAGGAAGCGCACAAAGGAAGTGATGAAAGGTCATTAGCCTGCATCATTATTTACAGCATGAGAGCCTCTCCTACGGTTCTCAACCTTCATTAGGCACTACTGTGATCTAGTGATGGTTGTAACCCATTCTTTAAAGGCAAAGATGTAAGATTTACAGGGAAAAGCTTCGGGTTTTATCAATTCACTATCATCAAACACATACTGAGTTGGTTTAAAAAAAAAAAAAATCCAGAAAACAAACTTGTAATATTTTTGCATGACAACCACTTCAACAAACGTAACGATGTGGGAACCAATCAATTTGGGTCACAAAAAGTCAATCCGTATATTGTAAAGCCTTACACAGTATTAGGTTCCAAAGTGATGGTGCAGATGAAATGGCTGCAGAAAGAAGCTAAAGTACTTCTCTTTTCAAACAGCAAAGAGTAAAAGACATGTTATCTATCATGCCCACACCTTCACAAGACTGTTCAAGGGTAAGAAACAAAACAATTACTCGAAAAAGATACTGACAGGGTTCAAATAATGCACAATAAATCTTTCTTGGGATCTAAGACACTTACAAATATATTCAAATTTGTTGCTCTCTTCCTCCTCCAAAAAAAAAAAAAAATTCAGAGTACCAGGTAAGGTACCTCTGTAAACTGTAACTGTATATCATATTAAATCCAAATCTATGTGATCACTGTTCTGCCATAATTTGCTATTTTATATACACCTCAGGAAACACTATATATACATTACACAAGTGTCATTTACAGTTGGTTTGGGCAACCTTTGTAGTATGGAATACTCATAGGGTTTTCTCAATCTGGTTACTTGGAAAGGTAAGATGTGTGCTGTGGCTTTCCCACATGCAGACACTGTCATCTGAAGGGGAAAGCTTAAGACTGGAATCTCCACATTCATTCTCTTTTCAATATGAGTTTGGAGATGTTAAGTCAGGTGTGTAACACACTAAGGTTAAGTCTCCTACTGACATTATCATGGATTGGTTTGAATTCTCTGTGGTTTGGTAAGGGTCAAGTCCTAGGTGAAGGTTTTCTAACCTTTACCCCATGCCCTCAGCCAGTGTGGGTATTCTGGTGTCTGGCGAGGGACAGGCGGTCACTAAAGAGCTGCCCACAGACGTCACATTTGAAGTACTTCTCATCAGCTTGATTGGCACCACCTGTGCTGGTGCTGGCATGTTCGATGTAGCCTGAGCACTCCCCAAAGGCATTTGCAGGCTCAAATATGATCATGCTGGCATGAGTTTTCAGGTGCTCACCGAATGCTGTGCTGGAAGTGAAGGTTTCTGTGCATTCATGGCAATCATAGTATGGTTCTTCTACCTGAATCTCTTCATCTTCAGCTTCTTCTGGGTCTTCAATTCCCACACCGTCAGGCTCGTCGGCATCTCCCTCTGGCTCTTCAGCTCTTTCTTCTGGGTCTTCAATCCCTGCACCATCTGGTTCATCGGCATCCCCATTTGGCTGCTCGGCCTCTCCATTCGGCTGTTCAGCCTCTCCATTGGGCTCTGCAGCCTCTCCATCTGGCCCTTCAGCCTCTCCGTTTGGCTCAGCCGCCTCCACCTCTGGCTCGGCAGCCTCCACTTCCGGCTCGGCAGCCTCCACTTCCGGCTCGGCAGCCTCTACATTTGACCCCTGAATCCTCAGAACTACTTGTGGAACGTGGACATTGGCTTCAACTTCCTGGGCTGCTGCTGCTGCAGCTGCAGCTGCTGCTTCATCATCATCATCATCATCTTCCAGATGAAGCTCCTTATGTTTAGTGAGGACTGTGCTATGAATAAAGGACTTTCCACAATCCTTGCATTCATAGAATGGTATAGCTCCTTTGAGGGGCTCAGTAAGAAATGAGGTGTGAGTATAGGTGGACCCATACTCATAAGGCTCATTCTTATGAACAGTTACATGATCTGCAAGTTCTGCTGGGTTGATGAAAGCCTCTCCACAGATTGCACATTCAAAGACTCTCTCTTCGGTCTGACTTCTCTGAAACTCAGTGAGGGCTAAGCCTGGAATGATAGCTTCCTCAGCCATCTGGCTCTGCTCCAGTAAATCATCTTCCCTGTGAAGTCTCATATGCTCATTAAGGGCAGAGCTATGAATGAAGCCTTGTCCACACAAAAGGCATCGAATGGCCGACCCAGCAAGAGCAGGATTCCTCTCTGCGGCACGATTCCTCCGTGGCTTCATGGGCAAGAGGGCAATAAAACCATCATCACACCCCTTCATGGAATACAACTGGTCTTGTTCATGGATTCTCTGATGCTCGAAAAGGAATGAGCTATGAATAAAAGATTCCCCACACTTTGGACATTCATACAGCTGCTCTCCAGTGTAATCTCTCTGATACTCGCTGACGGAATGGGTGTGAATTACAGAATGTGTGTACTCCCGACTGTCAACCAGGCACTTCCTGCTGTGGACTTTCTGATGGTCTGTGAGGTCTGTGAGATCCACAAAGCCCAGGCCACAGTCCTCACATTCATAGATTGCGTTATCAGGGTCATCCTTCTGCAGGTCTTCCATGTCTGAGCCTTGAATGACAGGGTCTTCAATTGTCTCCTGACCATGGGTCTCCTCGCCGTAGGTCTCCTCGCCGTGGGTCTCCTCGCTATAGGTCTCCTCCCCACGGATCTTCTCACCTTGAGACTCCTTACCATGAGACTTCTCTTGGTCATAGATTTTCTGGTATGTGTTCAGGTCTTTGCTGGTAGCAAAAAATTGTCTGAATTCCTTAAATTTGTTCCACGCTTGCTGTTTAGCATACTGCTCTTGGGCATAACTTGTTTGAGGGTCAGTAGGGGCCAGGCTGCGAATGACAGACCATTCGTAGTTTCTGCTTCCAGAGGGCTTCTCTCTATCATGAATCTTCTGGTGCTCAGTGAGGTCAGAGATACGCCCAAAGCACTCCCCACACTCCTGACATTCATACAGCATCCCTCGAGGGCGAAATGTTTGTTCACCAAAAGGTAGAGAGTGAATTACAGAGGTCTCATTGCTCCTATGCTCAATGTATTTCTTTTTAGCACGAGCCTTCTGGTATTCACGGACATTTGAGCTGGGAACAGAGAATTCACCATCCTTCTTAAATTCACCAGATCCCTCTCCAGGAACACTTTTCTGAGGTCTGGCATGGGATACACTCTGTATGACAGAGTCTCCATAGTTGTGATCCTTACTGCCCCCTTCACAAGGGTTCTCTCTGGCAGGAATCTTCTGTCGCTTATCATTAAGGTCTGAGATATAAATGGAGCATTCTCCCTTCTCATTAGATTCCACCAATTCATTTCCACTGTGACTTCTTGGAGGTTTGGAAGTCACTAAGCTATGGATAACAGACCTACTGTATTCCCTTCCTTCAGACGTGTTCCCTCCAGCACGAACTCTCTGATGGTTGATAGCATCGAAGCTCTGAATAGTAGACTCTGCTGTTACTTTTGGTTTACTGGGCCCCGCTACACTGTGACTTTTCTGAGCTTCCACAGAGGCTAAGCTATGAATAACAGACCTCTCATATGATTTCCTTTCATAGACATTTTCCTTAGTGGGAATCTTCTGGTTTTCATAGGGGTTAGAGCTAATGGTGAATGCCTTCTCATCCTCATCACTTTCAGGAGGTCGTGTTATAGTATGACTCTTCTGAGATTCAGTGAAGGGTCCACTATGAATGACAGATTTCTCGTACCCTCTGCCTTCAAAGAGGTTCTTTCGAGAATGAATTTTCTGATGCTCACTGAGCTCTGAACTTTGCATGAAGGCATCCCGGCCATCTGTAAAGTCATAGAGCTTCTCCTTATTGTAAGTCTTCTGACGCCTTTTAAGGGACTGACCAGGAATAAAGGTTTCCTCACATACCTTACCCTTATTTTCAAATGGGTTCCCTCTAGTATGGATTTTCTGATGTTCTTTCAGGGATGAGCTATGAAGGAAAGTCTCCCCACACACCTTACATTCGTACATTTTCTCTTTACCGTACATTTTCTGAAACTCATTAAGGGTTGGGCTGGGCCTAAAGGTTTCCCCGCGCTCACGATCACGTTCACGCTCATTATCTTTGTCATCCCCAAAGTGGATTTTCTGGTGCTCAATCAGGGCAGAACTATGAAGGAAGGTTTCCTTACACACCCTGCACTCATAGAATTTGTCTTTGCCATATATTTTCTGAAGCTCACTAAAGGTTGGGCTAGGCATGAAGGCCTCCTCACACTCCTGATTCTTACATTCCACAGGATATTCTCTAGCATGAATTTTCCGATGTTCAGCCAAGGCGGCACTCTTATTGAAGGTCTCTCCACAGTCCTTACATTCAAAACGTTTCCCTCCAACCTGACTTTTCTGAACTTCACTGACAGCCACACTGTGAATAAAGGACTCACCATACTCATAGAGGTTCTCTCTAGTATGCATGATCTGGTGCTCAACAAATTCTGAGATGACACTGAACGACCTCCCACACTCATCACATACATATGGCATTGCCCCAAAATCAATTGGCTGCGACTCACTAAACGATGGGGAGCTGAGGCTGCTCAGGTTGCTCATGCTCACGGCTTTTCTCATCTCACTACCACATTCAAAGGGCTTCTTCCTGGGACAGCCTTTTTGATCATGAATCGAGCCCTTCCCATCCGTGTCAAAATGATAGCGCCTCTTTCTTTCCAGAACTCTCTTTCTGGAAACAAGGGTTGAATTAAACCTAAAGCCTCCCCTAAATGCATTCCCTTCATAAACCCTCTGCTGGATCACTGACTCCCTCTTGTGCAATGAAACGTCCTTCCAGTTAGCATCTGACATTCTGGGGAATCTCTGTGACTGGTCGCTTGACTCCCTTGCTCTTCCCGATTTGGAACTGCGCGACACATCCTTGATGAATTTTTCCATTATCACTCCGTGGGAAGACTCATCTTCACAAATCCCCCGCCGGTGGGTTGATTTTTTGGCTTCAGGCATAGTTTTTAGACCTGGAAAGAAACCCTAAATGTAAATACTCCCTAGTCCCCACAGGAAGGACAGTGGGACTTGGAGGGGTGCACCCTTCTGTGATGTTTACGAATGCAAAGTGTAGAAGGTTCCTTGATAGCATCTTACTGGCTGTGTGGCTCCTCTGTGGGATGTGCCTCCTGCTTACCTCGACTGGTGCTTGGGTAGGCACTTCTCTTGGATCTTGATGAGTGGCCCTGCGTCATGTGGGAGTGGCCATCGTCTTCAGCAAGCTGCACTCCTGGTCACAAGGACAATATGGTGCCTCAAATTCAAGTTGAGGACCAAGACTCATCCCCATAAATTGATCTTCATCTTTCACTGAGCCTCTAAATATGAGGTGGCCCACATCTGATTCCTTGGATGTCAGAAGACATTTGCTGTCTCATTTCCCTACTATCTATTCCCTAATCCATTGTAATCTGCAAGTAATTCTTCTGACTCCACTCAGAAATGTGCACAAAGACCTCACATGTCCCTGAAATCAGTGCATTGTCTTTTAGTCTTCACCTTCTTGTAACCACTTTTTTTTTTTTTTTTTTGAGACGGAGTCTCGCTCTGTCACCCAGGCTGGGGTGCAGTGGCCAGATCTCAGCTCACTGCAAGCTCCACCTCCCAGGTTTACGCCATTCTCCTGCCTCAGCCTCCCAAGTAGCTGGGACCACAGGTGCCCGCCACCTCGCCCGGCTAGTATTTTGTATTTTTTAGTAGAGACGGGGTTTCACCATGTTAGCCAGGATGGTCTCAATCTCCTGACCTCGTGATCCGCCCGTCTCAGCCTCCCAAAGTGCTGGGATTACAGGCTTGAGCCACCGTGCCCGGCCCTTGTAACCACTTTTTAAGTCCTCTTTTTCACTGGCCTTCTTCCTCTTACCTCACGACTGCTCTTCCTCCACCCGCTCCCTCGAGGCCCCATGGCCTTAGAGACCTGCAGGACAGCCAACTGCCCACTACCAACTTAGGCTAGATGTCTTCCAGGAAAGTCCACATGGGAACTCAGGATTCCATCCTGAATGTCTACTTAAAAACCTCCAGTGCTACCGCTCTGGAAAAAGGTATCAACTCTTGTGGCAAGAAGCATCTCCCTGCTTGTCTCCACCCTGTACAATATATCTTTACCCAAAGCCAGAGGCATTTCTTAAAAATACACATTTCATCATTTACTCCCTCATTTGAAATCTTTCATAGATTTCTTACTACCCTTGAAGTCCAAATATATTAATGTGTCGGACTCTAACATCCAGCTTAAAAAGGAGCAAGATGACAAAATGCTCCAATGACTGGACTGGGAGTGACTGAGAAGCAGCTGCTTACCCAGGGAGAGCAGCTTCCTGTAGTTTTCCATGTTGTCCTGGATTGTGTTGTGAGGTTTCCTGTCCTCAGTGAGGTCTACCACATTTTGGTATGATTCAGCATCCTAAAACAGCAAACACAGACCTCTCAATGGAGTCTGTCCCCACCGATATCCAAAGACAGAATAATGTTGGCGACATGGGAGCTACATATATGAAGTTATATAGTAAGTGCTCACGGTATTGGGGTTCTGAGTGATCCAAGTCAAGTGTTACTAGGGGCCTACGTCGTACCTACCTTGGTGCTACACTCTGAGGCAGATCCCAAAGACGCATGACACATATTCCTTGCCCTCATGCAGCTTATAATTTGGTTGGAGAGAAAAGACTCATGAAACAATTAGAGAACAATAAACAATAAATTGGGGTACAGATAATAAGTGCTAAACGGGTTTTGTAGAGGGACAGTTCAGGATGGGCCTGAACAGTGTGCAAAGGTTTGTGGAGGGCAGGTGGGGCCTTAAGTAGCGGGTAAGGTTATGATACATAGAGAAAGGGATTGGCGGGAAAACTTAAACAGACTAAATATCAAACAGGCATGGAGTACTCAGGGAACAGAAAGAAGACACACACATTCAGGCAGACGTCTGGTCAGGATGTGACTTAAACCTCCCTCCTGGTTTCTCCATGGCATAGCATGGCTATCCTGAGGGAGTTTCCAGTTTGCAGAATTTCCAAATAACCCAGGAATAACTGTAAGCCCTGAGGGCATTTTTATAATTGCCTTTTCTGTTTTAATGGACATTTACCTAAAAAGGAATTTAAAAATTCCTCGAATTACTCAGGAGAACCTTCTACCAGGATCCTAAAGGACCTTTGCTTATTGCCAGAGGGCCGACTAGAACACTACTGGTTTCAGGGAGTCATGGTTCCAGGAAGAATGGCACTGAGGCTGGAGAGAGACTTGAGGAGGGAGACGGTGCTATGGGAAGCCCACAGGCTTTGGAGCTGGACAGAGATCTGGGTCAAAGGAGGATCGCACCAGTTATGAGCTGTGCAACCTTGGGAACAGAAATCTTTTTGAACCTTTCTTTCAGGTTCTTCACCTGTAAAATGGGGAGAAGTGCATTTATCTGCTTTGCAATACCGTGGGTGAGGATTTTCGGCAATGTGATGTGTTGCTTAAATATTAAGAAAAATTATGTAAAGGAAATACATATGTTTTGATATTAAATCCACCATAGTTCTATTGCTGGGAAAAGGCATGGAGCAACATGAAAAATGTAGCAAAAAAGAGGGTTTGCTGAATAAGGTATATATCAAGAAAACAAAGAGGTACGGGCATCTGGGTTTAAGAGGGAAGCCTTATTTATGCACTGCCTGTGTCCTGCCACAAAAAAGCAAAAACAACGACAAAAACTAAGTAGGGCAAGGAAACAAAGCAGAGCTTCACAGATAAAATTCTTTTCTCACATGAAAGAAAAAGCACACTTTGATTTGAAATTAAAATCTAGGCAAGTAGGCAGCCCTACATTGGTTGTTCACTTTGTGTTTGTAATCAACAATGACATCTTAATGTATACAAACTGCAATCAAGTTCAACGGAAGAGATGCTGTTCTGAAAACAATGCTAGTATGGCACAATGTAATTTTCACAACATGATCCATACATGTGAACAATTAAGAGATTTACACATGATGCTAAAAGATGAGAGAATTTTCTGTTTTGTACACCTCCAAAACGTAATTTGTCATTTGCTGCTGGGGTTACTACTATACTGCATCAGTAGGAATCAGTAGCTTCCAGACTTTTGATTATGCAGACATGGGGCTTGGATGCCAATTCTTCACAGATTGTCAAGGAAGGGCATTTAAAAAGCAAAACAAGACAAAGCCCAACTACCAGGATACCAATGGCTAGGCCCACACATGCCTGCAGCCTTCTTCCTGTATCCCAGTCACTTGGCCCTTTGTTTAGTTCCTATCCCACAACTTTAGCTGAGCTCTCCCTAATGCCTGGGGTCCCCTCCCACAACACCTGACCCAGACTGCTCCTTGCTCTAGACGGCAACTGTTAATGCCTCCAAGACATTTCCCTTCAATCCAAATCAAGGCCCTTGTTACAATTTCTTGTTAACTCTCTATTTTTCCTTGAGGGCACTGAGAACGATTAGCAGTTATATACAACATTTATGTCAATATTTATTTGTGCAACTGTCAAAAGCTTCTCAGGGCAGGGCCCCTCTCTGTGTTGCTCACTGCTGTGCCCCCCAGGGCCTAGGCCTGCTATCTGACATGGGGTAGGCACTGATACATAAAGGAAAGCAAGGTTCAGCCCAATGGCTCCTCCCTTCTTTGAGTCCAGTCAGTGCTGGGGTCTTCCTCCACACTCCACCATGTCTAAGTGACCCCTTTCCTCCTTCCTAAAAAACAAGCTCAAGTCCCACCTTTTTTTTCCCTTCATGAATCTCCCTGGCACATGCTGCCTCTTCAACCACAACTGCCATAACATTTAATGGTATGCCTACCATGTGCCAGGTACTTTATGTATGTGTATGAGTGACTTTTCACAGCAGCTCTGGGAGCAATCACCATACTCATTTTACAGATGAGGAAACGGAAATTCAGCTTAGTTGAGTAAATGGCCCAAGGCCAGCTAGCAAGTGGCAGAGCCAGGCTTTGAACCCAGCTCTTGTCAGCTCCAGAGCCTTTGCTCTCCCTGGCCAGTCTACTCTGCAGACCCACAGCTTTCCTGGCTCCCTCTGGAGGACCAGAAACATCTCCAGAGTCACTCTGCTTCCCCGGCCCTGTAGGGAACGGCAATGTGACCAACCTACCAAGTGACACACATGCTGAGGGGCAGTAGCTCCTCTGACCACATGAACGACACCGACAGCCAGCAGCAGCCTGGGCTACTTGTCACCTATGGGATGGGCCTGGGCTCTTCCTGGAGGGCTGGGGCTGTCACCCCAGGTGGGACTCTAGGGGCAGATAAATAAACACACCATCCGAGGAAAGAAAGGCATCTCTGCCACGAAATGAAGATGGCCTTTCTAGAAAGAGAGGAAACCTGAGCATACCTGAGATCGGGACTCGTAAGCCCTGGAGTCCCTGTCATCATCTCTTTCCATTTCAAAGCTTGTTTTCGCCATCACAGGAAGGGAAAGATCCCGCTGAGGCATCCCTGGGAAGAGAAAAGGCATCAACAAGAAGCAGGGCCCAGTCCATCCTGCAGGTCCCAGGTTTGTCCTACTCAACTGTGAAGCCGGCTGGGGTGTGAGTGTATAACAGCAAGTGCCTTTCTCTTCTCTGTACTCTGTGGCAGCCTCTGAGGAGTCCCATAAAACCAGTGGCCCTACAAAAACCCAGACCCAGAGCAGGGCCAGGGACCCTGCCTCATCCTTCTGCTCCCAGTCTCGCAGGTGGTTCAGATTGTGCCCAAGCTGTGTGGGTCCAGTGCAGTGTCCACTAGCCTCATCCTTCGGGCACAACCTCTGGGTCTCCCCAGCTGCAATGTGTGACAGGGAGATGGCATCAAGAGACCGTCCCACAGGGTCACGTCTCTGAACAATGCCTAATGTGTTGTGAACCATCACTAAATGTCACTCACTCCTGATATCCTCCTCCTGATCAATTTTAGGGGTGCCCTGCTGCCCAGAGCAGTGCTCTCCAAGTCCAGGAAGAAGAGGAAATGATTTCCAGCAGTATGGACACCAGCACCACATTGGTGTGATGATTGATTCCCTTTCAAATCTCAGGCCTGGTGCTCAGATGTGGCACTGCACTTTCCTAACACTGCAAGAAGTCATTGCAGACATTCCTAGTTAACAACATTGTTAAAATGTGTTTTTCATTCTGCTTTCTGCCTATGGCACTTTATACTAGTTTTCAATTTTTTTTTTTTTTTTTTTTGGAGACGGAGTCTCGCTCTATTGCTCAGGCTGGAGTGCAGTGGTGTGATCTCGGGTCACTGCAAACTCCACCTCCTGGGTTCACGCCATTCTCCTGCCTCAGCCTCCTGGGTAGCTGGGACTACAGGGGCCCGCCACTGCGCCCAGCTAATTTTTTTGTATTTTTTGTAGAGACGGCGTTTCACCATGTTAGCCAGGATGGTCTCGATCTCCTGACCTCGTGATCTGCCTGCCTCAGCCTCCCAAAGTGCTGGGATTACAGGCGTGAGCCACTGCGCCTGGCCTAGTTTTCAATTTTTAGAGTAGCATAATCTTTCATATAGAAACTTCTAGGTTTTTTTAAAAAATGCACCAGCTTAAGAACACTGAGCAAATAGTTCAGATGGCAACAGGTCTATGTGGTGAAACCTGTGCTGGTGGCACTGAGTGGAACTTCACAAATAGGAGGCTCAGACTAAACTTTTGGGGAAGCAGAATATAGTCCAAATGGAGCAGCAGAAACTTTTGAGGCCCTGGCACTTTCCCCTTCAACCTATGCACAGCACATGCTCTATATCTCCTACTGAGAAAGAAAGTGGTTAAGACTCACTGCTTCTTGGGTTCCTGGTGTAGGACCAGCGGTCTCGTGGCTCCATGTCTCTGCTTCTGCCCCTCCGGTCCCAGTCCCGGTCACCTGAGCGGGTGAGACATTCCAGTGGTTAACAAAGCACTTCGACACACCTGTTTTCCCTGCATGTGCACAAACACCCCTCTGGAAAGAGATGCTACCCTCTTCCCACAAGGAATGTATCCAAAACAGAGAGCTCCAGATTCCCAGGCTCATCTGGCCCCTTCTTTATCATATAGCCACAACATGGTTTCTGCAGGCTTTGCGCAAGTGGGGCTTGCTTCCAAGCAAGTTCCAAAGCTCAGTCCAGTAGCTAACCCCCATTTCAAACTCTTTGCTGGCTTCCCACTTCCTAAGGGGCTGAGTCCACATTCAGGAGAATGGATTGCAGACCGTCTACTGTCTGGCAGCCAATCTTAAAGTGCATGTCATTCTACCACAAAAAAACACAAAACCCAAGAAAACAACACACACACCCTCCCTGAAAGCAGTGCTCCCTATAAAAGCTCACTGAAGCATCTTTAATGAACCTTCCTGGGGAGGCTGGGGTACAGCTGGAAGCAGCCTGTTGCAAATTCCAAATAGCTTTAAATATTTTATCGTTGAATAAAATGAAACTAAGTATTTAAGGTGTCTGTTTAGATATAAAAATATCTCATTATGCCATCAATTACTTTACCCTCTCCTCAGATCTCTGAGTGAAGCTGACCACCTGGGGATGGCGGGGCATCTTCATGGAGGCCCCGACCCACCGTGTCTCCACCTGGAAGCATCTGGCAGCGCCTGCCCACAGCTGACCCAGGGGATGAGTACTCACCACTGAAAGAACGGACTGAGTGAGGTGGTGAGGACTCTCCTCTGTCCCGGGCCATGTCGTCGTCACTGGTCATGTCACTGCTGTTGTCGTCTGAGAGGACACCCATCACCTGGTTACTATCGACCTGGTTACTATCTCTGGCCCATATTCTCACAGTAGTTCCCCCCAATCCCTGAGCTGCATCTCCCTGTCACACACACACGGTTGGAGTGACCTGATCCTAACATTGTTGAGCTCAAAACCCTTTAGTGGCTTCCAACCACTCCTGACATACTAAAAACTGTGGGCTGTGAGCACCCCGACCTCACCCCCAGACACAAAAAGCCAGAAGGCAATCTCCTAGCACGCCACACCAAAAGGGCAGGAGCCGTAAGACGTTTTCTCCCTTCCACAGAGGTGTCTCCTTTCCCTCTCCTGACTCAGGATGGTGGTTCTGCGCCAGGGCAGTTTTGGCTGCCAGGGGATACCTGGGCATGTGCGGGGACAATTGTGGTGGTCACACCCAGAAAATCATGATGCGGCTCAATTCCACAGTACACGGGACACCCCCACCGCTGCCCAGGACAGAGAACAATCCAGCCCAGACCATGTTGGAAGTGTGGAGGCTGAGAGCCGCAGGGCGCGCCTGAGGCCTGCACTGACCACCATCACCCCATGGAGACTCTTACCTTCCGGTTGGTACATCTCCTTGTAATTCTCCAGCAGAGTGATGGGTTTCTCACAGTTCTCTGGCTTTTTTGCTCGCACCCAAGGCTTGAGCTTTTCAGGGATGATGGTCAGGCACTGCTCAAGGACCAAGGGCTCGATGGTCTCCTTAGTGCGAGTCTCCGGCTGCAACCAATCAAGGCAGAGGTTTCGGAGTTTGACTAGGGTCTTCCGAGGCCCAACAAATTCCACGTAGATTATGTTCCGAAACCTCTGATGAAAAAACTGAGAGTCAGTTGGACCTTCTCCTATGACGACATCCGGCTCCTTAGTCAAGTCACTGTCTAGCTCATACAGATTTGGGGCCCAGGACTTCTTAGGTGTGGTGGCAGACAAGTGCTTTGGAGGCAGCGTTTCTCTAAGTAAAATTTTCACTGGAGGAACCAAACATGAGTCAACGGGAAAGACGCGGCCGCCCCTGACCGTCAGTACTCAGGGACCTGTAGATCGTAAGGAGATATACACATGTCCCAGAAGTTGAGGACCAGGCAGCAGTGAAGGCCACCCTACCAGGGGCATCAACAATGCTTTGGGATATGGGAGTCGCCAGGAAATAGACAAACAACTGCACAAAGTTGGCCTCAGCACAGCAGTTACAAGCACGACCCCTGGGCTTCACATAGACCTACTCTTGAGGAGTTAGGTCTGCTACTAACTTGTTAGGTGACTGTGGGTAACTTGTCTAATGCCCTAGAGTCTGTCTCTGTAATCTGAGAAATGAGAATAACAGCACCTCCATCCCTTTCAGAATTGTGAAGCTGAAATAAACTAAGATACCTAAAAAGACTTAACTGCCCAATGCAAGGCACAAGAGAAGTGTTCAAGGCCCTAACCAGTACTACAATCAGATGTCAGCACATTTATTAGCAAAAATGAAAAGGGAAGTAGGAGCTGGGGCAAATCCTCCCCTAACATTTCTTCCCTTAACACAATCATTAAAACACAGTATACAACATGTAAAAAATGGAAGACCACTCAAAAATATTAAAAGTACTCAACTCTAAGTAACATGACATTATTCCCTCAGACAGTGACAAGTGACCACTGAGCCTCTTGATGCTACTGCATGTTCTTTTGCCCTTCATCAATCTCATCAAAGATCTCATCTGTCTAAAAGAATCGGCTTTCTGTTTTGACATTCCTTTCTTACTGTTTCTTTACCTAGTTCATTTATTTCCTTGTCTTTATTTTATTATCTGCCCCCTTCCATTTTTTAAACTTTTGAGATTGGATATAAACGTAAAGATTTTCAATCTCTCCTCTTTTTTACGTAACCAAGTAAAGCTATACGTTTCCCTTAAAGCATTTTTGCTATCATTTACGTTTTATTACGTATTTTTATGACTTGTCAGCACAACTGGTGCAACTAAGTAGGGCAATATGGGAAAGAAATCGAGGTCTGGGAGCATAAACTACCTACTGGCTTTACTTCCAGAGAAGAAAAAAAAAAACACATGCAACAAAAATTTTCTCCCTTTGTTTTAAAAGGAAAGCAAGTTTAAATTTTTTAATTTAAAAAAGTCTAAAGGAAAACTGAAGGTGTTTCCATTATTCAGAGTCTCAATTAGACATTATCACTTGGAAATTAATGTGGTAACTGAGGTAAACTCATGTTTACTCGTCTCAGTGATGGGCTCCCACTTCCCTCACTATGCAAACTGCCTTCCCGCGCTCTCTCGTAAGTTATCCCATGGAGCTTGGGCACCATCCAGTGCAAATGCCTCGATCCTGAAGACCTTAGCGACTGGACTATTCCCTTGCTGCCCTTCTCCATAGGACTGAGACACCACAGACAGCACAACATAGATAATGCTCTGCTGGGCAGAAGAATCCCAAAGCAAGGGAAGGCAGCAGGCCAGAGAGTCCAGGCTCCAGATGATTGGTGTGACATTTCAGACATGGTCACTCTAACCCAGGAAAGGCCAAGAGCAGAGGTCTGTGCCTGTGAGGGAGACAGGCAAGGCCCAACTCTGCTACGTGGCAGACAGGCTCAGGAGAACACTCTGGTACCTGAGATGATACTAGCCCTCATCCTCAGGCAACAAAACAGCCTCAGATATGTAATCACCTGTCTGGGAACAGGATCCTTTCTGGAACTTCAGACCAAGCATTTATCCACAGGAAGAGAGTCAAAACACAGGTACCTGCAGACGTTTTAAAGGAAGAAATACATAGACTAAGAATATGAAAGACATATAGAAGGAGTGTCAGAGAATTAACTCCCCAGATGACTGGGGACTCAAATAGCACTGGGGTGATGCCTTCTATACCTTCAGGGAAAGGTCATTCCCATGCCATACAAACCATGCCAGACAGGAGAAATAAAAAGCTTTCAAACTGTCTTTATGAAACCAGAACAAGTCAAAAACGCAAGGCAAAGATATCACTAAGAAACCACGAACCAAACTCACGAAAGCAGAAATAAAAGTCTTAATGCTGCTATTTTTGAACATTATTCTATGGAGTTCTACCCAATTACAATAAGACAAGAAAAACACATCTGAGGCACAAAGAGATAAAACTAACATTCCCTTACGTAAGATCTATATACGTATATATGCTTCTATATTATGTGAATTTCTCTCCCCAAAAGACATGAATTGAAGCATAAAGTATCCTAGGTAAAAGCTATATATCAGAATGGTAGACTTATAGAGTTCAACAGGAAATCAACATTTTTTTTTTTTGAAGAAAATACAAATAGCCGAATCTGACTCAAGAAGCAGAGAAAAATATGACCACTAGGGAAGAAATCTAAAAAGCTGAAATAATGTAAAGAGCAACTTCCCAAATAAACTTTCTGTGAATAAAATATTTACCATGCTATAAAAACCATTCCAGAGCACAGAAAAGAGATGGAGGGCTTCCTACAATTAATTATGTGACCACTTGAATGCCCACATGAATCTTGTCACAAGGTGGATGCCAACTTCTGTGCCAAAAAAACAACAACAACAACAAAAAAACACATTGCTTTTCCTCAAGAAATTCAGGATTAGAGTAAACATACACAATCTTCATTTAACATGCTCAAGATTTTCAGACCAGGCCAATAGAACTTGGCCCTCGGTTAACAGAAGCCATTGAAAAATTGAAGTTATTTTTTTAACAGAAAAACTTAAAAAAAAAAAAAAAAATCAGACCTGAGCAACTTCCCACCATGGCAGCAGAAATTCATTTGGGAGTAAAGAAAGGGCTTTGGAAACAAAACAATCAATCATAAAGCTGGGCAACATATGTTTGTATGCGCGGGAAGACATAGGCACTCATATACTGCTTGTGGCAATGCAGATTTTAACAAAATTAGAAATGCACATATCCTCCCTCTCCTATAAATTCTACTTCTACGAATTTACCTCAGAGATATGTAATGGCCTATGTGCAAGAATATATTCACTGAAGTGTTGTTAATAGACAAGATACGTTATGTTCATACAATGAATTACTGTAAAACCCTTTAAAACAAGGCAACCTTAAATAAATGAATATGAGATGATCTCTAACATAGTTAAGTGCAAAACCGGACACAGTGCTGTATATAGCATTCCAGGAAACTAAAAACAGATGTGCTTACACAGACGGTTTCTAGAAGGATATATAAGATGTATATAGCATTCTAAGAAACTAAAAACAGATGTGCTTACACAGATGGTTTCTAGAAGGATATATAAGATGTATATAGCATTCCAAGAAACTAAAAACAGATGTGCTTACACAGACGGTTTCTAGAAGGATATATAAGAGACTATTAATGATGACTAATAGCAGTTGCCTCTGGGTAAGGGAACTAGGGGCCAGGAAAGGGAGGGCAACTTACTTTTTCACTGTATATTCTCCCTTTGTTTTTTGTTTTTATTTTTATTTTACCATGAGCATGTATTACCTAGTCAAAAAAATAAATTCAAAGTTAAAACAATAAACAAAACTATTAGTAGAGGCCTTTAGAGGTTGTGCTACCCAAGGAGTGGGTGCAGGCAGCCGTAACATCTTTACACTGGTGCCGAGCCCAGGCTCTTCTCCCCTCCCCTCCCCTTCACCATCCATCCGCAGCTTGAATCCATGGTCATACCCTAACCTGGCCATTTGCAGGGGACATGAGAAAGTCAATTTAGAAAACCCCAAAGAATCAACTTTGAAACCTCTTAGATCCAATAAATACTTATGATATTGCAGTTGCAATCTGAATATACCCCTCAATTATACCCATCAACTGTCAGTACATAAATACAATGCCATCCCCTATCTTGGCAATTCCACTTCTGAAATCTAACTCACAGACCCATCTGCCCATGTGCACAAAGACATACGGTTCAAAAGTGTGTTCACAGAAGCACTGTTTACAACAGCAGAGAACAGGAACAGTCAGGTAAATGCTCAAGCATAATTCCAGTGGCAGAGACCACTGAAAGGCCACCACGTGGGACACAGGAAAATAAAGATGGGCCCAACTTTTCTGCACTATAAAAACCAACCAAAGTAAAAACAAAGCAAAAAGTGAGGGGGAAAGTATTTTATAACATAGATGACAGTTAATATTTGAAATGTAAAAGGTTTTTGGCATTAGGAAAAATAGCCCAATATGAAAATAAACAACACTAATACACAGAGTTCATAAAATTAGTGATAATAAAGGCCGCTTACTTAACATCAGAAATCAAAGAAATGTAAAATATTACAATAAACATTTTCTTGACCTGTCGAATGGGCACATGTTTAAAAGATGAAAATTTTTGCTAGTGAGGGTGTAGAGAAGCTGGCTGGTGCAGGCATGAACCACATTTCTGGACCCCATTTTGGCCACTGTTTAAAGCTACTAAAAAAACCACCTACTTCTTTTGAACCAGCAATTCTCCATTTAAGAACAAATATAGCCAAGTAGATAAAATGTTAATAAGAAAAAAAAAAAAGCTAAAACGTCAGCTGCAGCTGGGTGCGGTGGCTCACGCCTGTAATTCCAGCACTTTGGGAGGCTGAGGCGGGTGGATCACCTGAGGTCAGGAGTTCGAGACCAGCCTGGCCAACATGGTGAAACCCCGTCTCTACTAAAAATACAAAAATTAGCTGGGCGTGGTGGCAGTAATCCCAGCTACTCGGGAGGCTGAGGCAGGAGAATCACTTGGACCCAGGAGGTGGAGGTTGCAGTGAGCCAAAATTGCACCATTGCGCTCCAGCCTGCACAACAGAGCTAGACTCCATCTCAAAAAACAACAACAACAACAACAAAAAACAAAGTCAGCTGCACACTATGTTTTAACCTTTGTATGTACAGCTAATTTCTGGTTTGTAAAAGGTAAAACCTCGAGCACAAAATAATGGCAGGTAACACATTTTATACATGGAATGGTGGGAAGGGACGAGCACGACTGACAGGGAAACAAACGTGTTCTGTTGTGTTACTGCTATGTAACCACAGTCCTAACACAAGTCACATTAGAGCAACCCAGAGCCAAAGGCAGGAAGAGGAAGTGCTGGTCAGCCTTCTCCTGCAGGGCCACCTGACACAAGGTGGGCCATATGCAATTAGGTTAGCTGCCTTCCTGGCCGCGTGACCCAAACCTTAGCTTTGGATTCACCCCATCCTCTACTTGCCGCCCAAAGGGCAACTAGCAATGGGGCCAGATGCTGAATTTGCACCTGCCAGGGCCACATACTTACCTTACCCTGCCTGGGGAAGATCAGATCCCAGGTGACCTTCTGTGACAGCGAGTCTGGCCATCAAAAGCATAACTGCTCTACCCACTCGGCCCCCACTTCCCCAGGCCAGCTTCTCCATGGCAACAGCCACGCCTACCACTGAAGAAAACAGAAGATATGTGTTTGCAGGTGCTGAGAGGAAGAAAGGTCTAAAGGCTTGTCTGATGCTATCAAATGAAAAATTAAGGCTGAGGAGTTAGTCTGCCCGAGGATGGCCTAAACGGGCCATCAGTAAAAATGTAGCCTATTAATCAGAGCTGTGCTTGAAAATGTATGAATCCAACAGAACAACAGAGCACCTGTATTTATACCCCACTGCAAGGCCCCATGGGCAAGGACTCTGCTACCTTTTTCATCTCTGTATTTTTATAGGTGTTCAATAAACATTTGCACATAGATGCAAAAACATTTGATAAACCCAATCTAACAAAGTCCAAATAATAGCCCATGATCTTGAAAGGCTATTCCAGGAATACAAGGAGGATGTCCCATAAGGGTAAACTGTTATACAAAGGATGAAAGGGGAAGGGGAGCCCATGAGCAGTATTTCAAGTTAAAAAAATTTGCAAACTTCAACAGCCTTTCCTCATAAGTTCTTAGCAGAGTAAACGCAGGAGACCATCTAAGCATAATACTTATCTCAAAGAAATGCAAACAAGCATGTTATTAAACCCTAAAGGTGTTCCTCTGGAAGTGGGGACAAGGAAGGGACAGCTACATCACAACTACAATTTAACATGACTCTGGAAGTCCTAGCTAGTGCAACTGAAGAAAAAAGTATAAATATGGGACAGCATTATTTTGAACTACAAAACCTTATGAGTAAATACAGCAAGAGAAATAATTCCCATTAATAGCAAAACAAATAAATAAATCTCCATAAATCAGTTTAACAAAGTTATCTGCAACTTCAAACAAAATTTCAAAAGTTTACAGAGGAACACAAAAATTAGCCAGGGGTGGTGGCATGCGCCTGTAATCCAAACTACTCGAGAGGTTGATGCAGGGGGAGCCCTGGGAGCAGGAGGGTGCAGTGGGCTAAGATCATGCCCCTGCATTCCAGCCTGGGTGACAGAACTAGACCACATCACCAAAAAAAAAAAAAAAAAAAAATTACAGAAGGGCAATAAGTCTGAAATAAATACATGAAGACATGTGTATCACATTTTAAAAGTTCCTTTTTATTTTGAGGTGGGGAGTTTTGACAAACCGATAATCCAGTTCTTCTGGAAGAATAAATGTACAAGAATATCAAGACAACCGTGCATAAGGCCTATATGGAGTGGGAGGTGGTTTGTCTGTAAAATGACTCCAACACATGAAAATAAAGTGTTTTTTCCCATAAGGATATAAGCACAAGGACAAATATACCACTGGGACATAACAGAGTCCAGAATTCAACTGTGTGAAAGTCTATAGACACATGGGGACTTACTGTATAATAAAGGACTGGAAAATGACTCCTTATTTAAATACAAACTAGGAACTTTCTTACAACTACATGGCAAAGGGTAACTTTAACAAAAAGGCCATGACAGGACCGCTGACACTTCAGTGTTTGGTTACTCAAGCATGCATTTCTAGAATTAGAGTTGGCCTTTGACGTTAGGAAAGGCCAATATAACCACTGCTGGCACAGAGCATCCCCTAAGAAATTAGGTATTTCAACTACACATTTCTGGAAAGCTAAGGCCACTAGGGCCAATGACAAACATACTTTGTTCTAAGTAAGTTACTGCACCCAAAAAATCAGCATCCCTCCTGAGTTTTCATTAAACAAGGAATGAAAACAAAGTATTTAGCAAAATGTTACATAACCATTAAGTCGTGTTGTCAAGAAATGTTACAGCTTTATTTTCTGATTATAAAAATAAAACACAGCACTGCATTCAGGTATTGCAAAACATTCACCATAGAAACTTCAAGCCACACCTACTGATTAAGTTTGTTGCTATTAATAAATCTTAAAATCTATACATATGTTGTTCTTACTGCAAATATTCCCACTTATGTGTACACAGAGAATGATAGTGTCCACACAATGGAATATAATGCAATTTTCAGAAAGCAAAGCTATAGATGGAGACCTTGAGTGTGAAATGTTTGATAAATGGCATGATCTCATGTATGTAAAAAATAGTTAAACATATGGTAGTACATACAAACTAAACTACATACAAACTAAACTGGAAGAAAACTCACATACACTTGTACTGACTATTTATAAAATAAGGGAAATCTATCGGAATAAATGATTAACAATAACAAGTCTCTGTTTCTTTTTCCAGCTCTATTTAAAATGTTATTTTAACTTCCCAATCAGGAAAAAAACTAAATATAAAAATGAAGTAAATTCAATGACTGTTTCCTAGGGGGTTTGTTTTCCTTCCTGCCCAGCTTGTTGCAGCACATCAGGCCCTCCCCTTTCCCTGCTGGGGTCCCCATAATACAATCTCCCTCTGACCCTTAAGCACTCCCACTGAGGGTACCCTGTGGTCACCATCTGTACCTCCCCTCTCCAGTGACTGTACCATGGAGGGGCTAGTAGGCATTAGGCTCCACACCCAAATCCTCACTTCACTGACAGCTGTCTAGCCATCATATGGCTCAAGACTGAACTCTGGCCACAGGGCAAATCCATCTCCTTCCTGATTTGAAGGTGGGCTCCCACACACCCCTCATTACTAAAGCTTCCACATCTCCCTCTGCTCTCTCTTCAGAGCAGGACTCAGTGTTAAGTAGTAGGCAACTGCAGTTAGCAGCACACAAGGGCTAGCTGACTCTGGGCCAGGGGACAAAGAAAGGTCACCAACTTCAAGGGGAGGGAGGAGAGGCGCCAAGTGATGGGGCCACTGATAAAGGATCCCTCTACACAGCCAGGCAGGAAGAGTGCTTCTGGGAATCTCGCATTCTTTGATCTCCAAAGGATCTGTTCTTTAGATATCTACACATGAAACCTCTCTGTATACAGAATAAGCTTGGCGCTGCCTGCTGTAAGACAGCACTGCCAATTGAAGTCTGGATGGTGGTACTGATGCCATTCTTTGGATATTTTATGACACTTTACTTCTATTCCATTAAAATGAGTAGAAATTAAAAGCATGGATCTCACAATTAATATAATACATAATAAAGATGAAACTCATCAGGCATCCTTGCCATTAAGTCGGGGAAGATCTATGGCTTTAATCAGAGAAATGATGGGTCAGTGTTCAACTGAGCAGGGAAGAGCTTAATTAAAGAACACATCATGCACTAGAAAGCATCTGGGACCATGTGTGAGAAGAAATCCTGTGACTCCAGTTTGGCCTCAGGCTCCCACATCCCATCTGACGCAGGAGAAAATCCACCAAGTCTCCTTCAGTCTCATTTCCATTTACTTACTTTGGTCCCTCACCATAGTGCACCTAGATTCAGCCCCCTAACTCGTTCTACCTACCTCATTAAAAGGGGGCTGGAATTGAGAACTTTAAAGTCAGGAACCGAGGAGGTTACTCTCTTCGTCTCTCAGGGACAGCGTGGTGTGTGGTCGCCTCTCTCTTCTTGTTTGCTCCATTCTCCTGCCTCTCTCTGCAGACCGACATTCTCTACTTCAGCATGCACATGGAGTAAGATGCTATCCCAGCCCAGGCCTACCTCACCTCCCAGTTTAAATGCCTGACACGCAAGTGTCTTTTCATCCAAATTCTCAGTATGAAAGTGCACGCTACAGCCTGATTCCTTCTAGGGCAGTGGTTCTCAAACTCAGATGTGCAGTAGAGTTGCCTAGGGTGCTTATGAAACACGAAGCTACGTTTCCAGGTGGGATGACTCAGGAGGTCTGTGGTTCCCCAGGAAAGAAGCATTCCTACCACCACTCCAGGAGCTGTTCTTTGAGAACCACTGCTCTAAGGTATCCAGTCTGGTCCCATCACCTATGAATAAGGTACATGTGGGACACAGGGGCTTTAGAGGGAACAATTTTATATGGGAGCAAGGAGTAAATGACCACCAACTCCATCTCAAAGGCCACAACCTCCACCCTCTGGTCTGTTCACTGGCTTCTCTCAGATAATCTCAACATCCTGGGCTTACTTCTACCACATTAAGCTTAGCACTTACCACACTGCAGCAAAATCTCCTTGTCGTTGTCCATCCTTGAGAGATTTCCCCAAAAGTTTAGAAAGAGAGGAAATAATATCTAAGAGTTCAGTCTCACGACCAGCACAAAATGGTTCGAGACAAATAAAGCTACTTTAAAGAGACAAAATGTCTTCCAGAACAGTATGAAATTATTTGACTATATTCTAATAACAATAATTGGCTGATCTTATTTTTTTTAAGGGGAGGGAGTACTAAAAAGTAGGCCACAAAGCATGGTCCATCCAACCATCCACAGGATAGTGAACAACTCAGCAGACCTAACTCGAATGGAGTTTGGGGAGGGCAAGGATGTTAGATAAGGGGCTTGTGGTGTCTTGGTAACCCTAAGCAAGGGTTTCACTGTGACTACATGGCTGCACCAGGCTGTGTTACAAACCAGTGCTATGAAAGCTCACCCACATCCTCTTGGTTCTGATTCCACACTCACCAAGCAACCTTCTCACTATGGCTGTGTTTCCCATGTAGGTCTGCCCACAGGGAGAGAATCTGCTGATCATACACACTGCTGAGTACCTGGGTCCCTGCTACTGTTGATCTCCTACCATAAATTAATAAACCAGAATTGTGGGAAAAAGAACCTCCTGTTACAAGTCATGTTAGTACGGGTTTAAGTCTCTCGAGCTTAGTTAAATGTGGATCTACCAACACGAGCTCTCAGGCAAAGTAGGTTTCCAAGTCTCCACAGGGTTAAGCACCATAATGGATATCTTGAGCATTCACTGAGGCCAGGAATACACCAACCCATCCCAAGGGCCCACCTGGTCATGTTAGCTTCTCCCCAAGCAGTATTCCACCACCACCTTAGCCACCTATTTTGGTAAACACATCCTTACTCTTCTTGTGATGGGAGTAGTTTCCACTCAGTAGACACTGAGGCCAGGGATTATGCCTCTCACTTCTAGAGACTCCAAGCCTGGCATGATCCTGTCCTGGATCAGGCCCAGCATCAATGCTTGCTAACAAATAAATAGACAACCCCTGGCTATGTGCTTGCTTCCCTGTACCATGTGACTCACTGTGTCTGCTCTGAATCAGTCAGCAGGCCATGAACAGAGAAAGTGAGTCTTGTGGAGTCTCCCTCCTATCACCTCTCAAATAATCTACCCACTTCGCTCCTCCCTGTGATATGACCACAAGCCAAGCCACCATCTCTCACCCAGGCCCAAGGTGGCCTCCTCACACCCACTGCGTCCACCCTCCCCTTCTGCACCCTGTAACCAGATGATCTTTTTAAAACCACAAATCTGATTATGATACTCCCATGGTTAAAAGGGCTTCCTGATGCACTTTAGGTCAAGCCCAGTTACTTACCACGATTACAAGTCTTTTCACAATGAAGCCGCAACTTACCTTCTTCCTACCTCAGTCAGATGCCACTTAATGACTCCCTTGCTCTAGGAATCCTGGATTTTCAGTTCCTCTCTCTCTGCATCTCTCAAGAACATCCCTGTCCCCTCTGCTGAGACTACTCTCCCCATGACACACACCATTCACACTCCTTCAGGGCTCAGCTTTAATGTTCTTGACCATCTCCGGGAGGCCCCTATGTGGCCTCTCCAAGATTAAGTCGGCTGTTGCTAGCAGATGTTCTCTTGCAAAAGTATAAATCAAACAATTATGTTTTCCACAGCTTTAATTCCCAAATAGACTAAAAACTCTGTGAAAACACTTCCTTTCCCCCATGGGGGCTATGTCCCAGTACCTGGCACAAAGTACACACTTGGTCAATATTCACAGACGAGTGGATGAATCTCTCATGCTTCTTTAATCACCAGGTAAGAGAAAAAGAGTAGGCCTGAAGCAGTAGCTGAGTATGAGAAAAAGAGGGAGGATACTGAAATGGATGGTGTGAGGCCAAGGAGAATTTCTAGGGAATACAAAATCCACCAGAAGAGTCTGGGTATTCTCAGAGGGCACAAATGGTGCTGGGGTGGCTATGTGGAACACGTGTGCAGTAGGAAAGTGTCAGAGTAAGGAAGTGCGGTGGTCACTTCAAAGATGGATGTGGCACTGTGAGGAGGAAATTCAACTCACCTGGACCCAGCCACCTAGCGTTTGGACCTAGTCCCTCTTCCTCTCGCCAGTCGTCTCCAAGAAGGATGGAAGATCAAGAAGGCAAAGCTGTAGAGGAAAAGAAAATGTGATTCACCATGTTTATTTTGCAGTTGCTGGGTTCCTCAGGGGGGAACAACAGCACAACAGTTCCACATTTATCTTCTATGATGGCACAGGTCAAACGAGACCATAAATAGCATCCCATCCAGGATGAATGGCCATGGGTATAGCCCCCTTAGGCCATGTCACACCCTGGGATGTACTCATAGACTTTCTCCAACAAGGGTACATCAAAAGCATTCAAGTCAGTTTCTGGGGTGTCTTACAACCTTCCCTGCGGCTCTAGATTAAGGAATCAATTCAAGAACCCCATTTATGGCGCTGGCCATCCCTATGTTAGGACTGCTATCCTATCATTATTATTACGTAATGATACTCTTAATCATGTGAAATATTTTAGGGTTTATCAACATGCTCTCAGTGGACTAGTAGGACATAGTTCAAGTCCCACTGCACCTCAGAGTATGTGTTCAATCAATTAGAGGTCGCTGGGGGAAGGACCTTCATGATTACGGGGCTGGTTTATATTCCAAGAGTCAGGTGAGCATATTTTGGTGAGGTTAAAGAGCTTATTAAAAACTATTCAAAGGATGGGTGCAGTGACTCACACCTGTAATCAGCACTTTGGGAGGCCAAGGTGGGCAGATCACCTGAGGTCAGGAGTTCGAGACCATCCTGGCCAACATGGTGAAACCCCTGCTCTACTAAAAATTTAAAATTAGCTGGGCAGGGTGGTGCGCGTCTGTATTCCCAGCTACTCAAGAGAGGTTGAGGTGGGAGAATCACTTGAACCCGGGAGGCAGAGGCTGCAGCAAGCCGAGATCGCGCTACCGCACTACTTGCCTGGGTGACAGGGCGAGACTTTGTCTGGAAAAAAAAAAAAAAAAAAAAGAAATGATGACAGGCTAGGAAGGCGTCATATGTGTCACTTTCCCTACCTCAAATAAAACAAAAGGGCTGACTTAAGATCTCCTTGGGTGGAGCCAGGGCTAGGTAAGTGAGCTCTAGGACTCTGTAGGAGAGCTAGGGCTGGGAGGTCCCCATCCAAACTAAGCTTTGGAAGCTGTGCAGCCCTCTAGCGGCTCTGCTCATGAACAGTTTCTCCCAAGGACCCACCCTACCTTTGGGGCAGCCCCTTCAAACACACCCCCACCTGCCCAGGGCAGCCTCCTAGTTCCAAGGCACTGCCCCTCCCTTCAGGACCACCTGCAGCCCTGAATTTTTCCAGCTCCACTTGTAGGATTTTGAGAGAAAATCCTTCACCACCAGAGTCTCCAAATCACCTAGACCCCAAATCTTAACCCACAGTGCACCTCCTCCATTTTCTCACTTAAAATCCCACCCTTCCCCAAATCTTTTAAAACTTCTGAGTTTGGCCTTGGACCTCACTGTCCCAAGGCTGCGCAGCTGAACTCGCCGGCTTCCCGAAGCCTGGCTTTGGCGCCCCCTGGAGGAACTATGGCGCCACCAGCCACGAAGGCGCTCTGCCCAAGACGGTAGGGGCAGGGCTCAGCTGGCACGCCAGTGCAGCCCGCGGTCACTCAGGAAGGCTCCTGCGCAGGCCCTACCCCGAGCCGGCAAAGATGGCACAGAATGAATGAACTAGGCTCTACGGCCCCGCCTACCTTGAAATCCCCTCAGCCCCCTCCAACAGCCCTGCTGTCACTCAAGATGGCGCCTGCGCAGTACGCTTCTGCTGCCCCCGCCAACGTCCCACACACACGGTACTAGGGTGGGCGGGGCTCACGCCCACTCCTACAGCCAACACAGTTGTCATTCAAAAATGGCGCCTCTGCAGTGCACCCATCACATTGAATGAAGGCTGCTCCATCAGACAAGACACACATGCTATGGCCCCCCTCAATCACTCAAGACAAAGCAGCTCCTCCCTCAGGCCCGCACCTGCAGCCAGCCTGTCATTCAGGATGGTACCTGCACAGTACACCTTGGCTGCCACCTAATGGCCAGCCACGATGATGCCACAGGGTGGGCGGGGCCATGCAGCCCCCGGGTCACTCCTCTGCACCCGGCCCTACAGCCAACCCAGCAGTCATTCAAACCAGTGCCTGTGTAACTGCCCTCACGTGCCCCACTGCAGCCAAACACTGCGCCAGAGTGGACCAGGCTCGGCAGCTCCCAGTCACTGAGACAGCCCTCCCTCATGCCCGCCCTCGGGCCGACCCAGGTGTCACTCAAGATGGCGCCTGCGCAATCAACCTCGGGCGCCCCCCTGCGGCTAGCACAAGACAGTACCGTGGAGGCGGCGGGGGGCAGTGGAGGTAGGGGTGCTCTCAGCCCTATCAGTCCCGAAGGACGGTCCTGGGCCCCCGCCCCTAGCCCTGCCAGCAGGGCGCCTGCGCAACCCGCCACGCAGCTCCCCCGCCAAGCCGCCCCCAGACACAAAATGGAGCCACACACATCCTGAGGTGAACAAAGTCTTGGTCAGACAACAACAGGGGAAGGGGTGAGCCTCTGCCACCGTTAGCCAAAAACACAGCGAGCACGCTGACAACCGTCGCCGTGTCCTTGAGGACAAATGGCTCCGCGGCCGCTACGGCAAACTCTCTAGGCAGGTCTCCTGGCTCCCCCAGATGCGGGGACCCAGCCAGTCCCACTGGCAGAACAGCTCGGCGACCAGCACACACAACCCAACGGGCGTGGCACTCCACAGCTTTCCACCACCGCAGAGAAGGCAGCACAGCAGCCGCGGCCCCGCCCCTCCCTGTGGACAACCCCACACCTAGGCGGCAAACCGCAGCCACCCCCATCAACAATGGCGCCCGGGTGGGCGGGGCTTGAGACCATCATGCCCATGCCACCCGCAGCCACTTCAGCCTTGCCCGGCCACATCTGCCGCCAACCAATCTGGGCAACACCTGCACAGCAAACCTCAGCTGCCCCCATCAAAGATGGTGCCCAGGCGGGCGGGCCTTGCCTCGCCCAACCAACCAGGACAGCGCCTGTGCAACTAATCTCAGGCGCTTCCATTAAAGATGGCGCCCAGGTGGGTGGGGCTTGAACAAACCACTAGGTCCAATGCCACCCTGTCACTTCAGCCTTGCCCCGCCCCATCTGCCACCAACCAATCAGAGCACCTGCGCAGTAAACCCCAGCAGCCCCCATCAAACATGGCACCTAGGTGGGCGGGGCCTGAGCAGATCTTCACATCCAATGCTACCCAGTCACTTCAGCCTTGCCCCGCCCCATGTGTCACTAACCAACCAGGGCGGCACCTGCGCAATAAACCTCAGCAGCCCCCATCAAACATGGCATCTAGGTGGGAGGGGCCTGAGATCGTCACATCCAATGCTACCCAGTCACTTCAGCCTTGCCCCGCCCCATCTGCTACCAACCAACCAGGGCGGCGCCTGCACAGCGGACCTCATCAGCCCCCATCAAACATGGCATCTAGGTGGGCGGGGCCTGAGATCTTCACATCCAATGCTACCCAGTCACTTCAGCCTTGCCCCGCCCCATGTGCCACCAACCAACCAGGGCGGCGCCTGCGCGGCAAACCTCAACAGCCCCCATCAAACATGGCACCTAGGTGGGCGGGACCTGAGATCGTCACATCCAATGTTATCCAGTCACTTCAGCCTTGCCCCACCCCATCTCCTACCAACCAACCAGCGCAGCGCCTGCGCAGCAAACCTCAACAGCCCCCATCAAACATGGCGTCCGAGAGAGTGGGGCCCGCAGCCCCCATCAAACATGGCGTCCAAGCGGGTGGGGCGTGAACAGATCGTCACATCCAATGCTACCCAGTCACTTCAACCTTGCCCCGCCCCATGTGCCACCAACCAACCAGGGAATCGCCTGCGCAGCAAACCTCAGCAGCCCTCATCAAACATGGCGTCCAACTGGGCGGGGCCTGAGCGGATCATTACATCTAATGCTACCCAGTCACTTCAGCCTTGCCCCGCCCCATTTGCTGCCAATCAACAGGAACAGCGCCTGCTCGGCAAACCTCAACCACCCTTATAAAAGATGGCACCCAGTGGGTGGGGCTGGAACAGACCATTACAGCCAATGCAACCCAGTCATTTCAGCTTTGCCTCGCCCCATCTGCCGCCAACCAACCAGAACAGCGCCTGCGCGGCAAATCTCAGCCACCCTCAGAAAAGATGTCACCCAGTGGGTGGGGCTTGAGCAGACGATTACATCCAACACCACCCACAGTCACTTTAGCCTTGCCCCGCCCCATCTGCCGCCAATCAACCAGGGCAGCGCTTGCGCCGCAAGCTTCAGCCGCCCTCCTTTAAGATAGCGCCCGAGAGGGCGGGGAAAGAAAACCCCTTACAGGCAGGACAGCCCTCAGCCCCGCCACCTTGGCGGCCTTCGCCCCTCCCACCACCACTGCGGCAAACAGGCCCCGCCCCCAGAGGGTAGCCGGGCACGCCAGCGCCGTGAGGCCGATGGGAGCCCGCAGGAAGGGGCATTCTTGCAGCCCCCAGACCCAGTCCAGGCAGCCCAGGGCTCCCGAGAGCCGCACTCCACCGCGGCAACAGGGATGGCACTGGTGTCTACCTTGCTGGACTCGCCGTGACAGAGCCCCTGGCTGTCTGCCCTAATGCCCCCGGGTTGCTGCGGTGGACCCCGGCCAGTCAGGAAGGCGCGGAGGACCCGCAGCAGCCCCTTAGACCCCGGCCCGCAAGATGGCGGCACCAACGCAGCAGCCCAGGCTGCGCCCACCCCTGCCCCAAAAACGCACCAACCATCCACAGCCCGGCCGCCACTGTGCCCACTCCCGGACTGGGCAGTGGGCGGCCATGTACCAGGTCCGCCGGACCGCCCTGCCACAAGGGTCGCTGGCTTGCCGCGGGGGTCTTGGGCTTGCGGCAAGACGGCCACTCCGGCACAGCACCGTCGTTACACCAAGGTCCGGCGGACAGGAGGTGCACCGGGCGGCCGAGGGCGCACTCACCTCACCTCAGTGCAGCGCAGCCTCGGGCGCGAACAGCCGCCTAGCGCACCCACATGGCGCCTGGCGCCCGGCGGCGCCACCAGCCCAGGGTGGACATCTCTCGCGCCTCCCAAACCTCTCCACCCGCAGCTCCCAGGCTTCTGCACCGAGGTGCCGCTCGACGCCTCCTTGTCAGGGCTTCTCTGCAGAGGCGGGGCTTCTGTGCTAGCCAATCAGCAGCCTCGCCGCCCTCTCCGGGCCCCCTCACCACGGCCCTGTGGTGTGCCAATCAGGCTGCGGTTGCCACAGCAACGGCTTGGCGCGAAGGCTGGGGGCTGACGTCAGGGAGTGGCCGTGAGGGACCCCAAAGCCGGGTCTGGAAAAGGGGGGTGGGTTGGGTGGTGGGGGTGCAGCCCCCAAACAAAGAAATGGGGGTCGAAATGGAGGAAACCCTACTGAGATGCTCAAATGTAAAACCGCCGGAGAATAAAGGGACAAATGTACACAACTGTCTAAATGAAAAAAATGAAAATCCTGGCCGCAAAAACATATACATTAACGTCTAAAGACCAACAGGGAAGACAAGACTTCTCCGCCTGGGACACATGAAAGACAGCGAGCTAATTTCCTTAATAAATGAAGAGCTCTTGGAAACCAATGAGATAAAGACTAAACCAAGCCAGAAAAAATGGGCAAAGGGGACAAAACTGGCAATTCGCAAGAAAATCCAAACGGCTGGCCGACCTGCGAAGGAAACATCACGACCTATTTGCATAAAGAAATGCAAACCTGAAACATCGGGCACGTGCGGTTTATGGGAGCGGGCAGTCTCACACACTACTGACTTGCTTCCCACCAGCCGTCAATACAGACCTTCCACTGCGTGAGCCCACTACATTGCCATTTAGTAAAACAGCGAGAAAATGAGAGATAAAAATAATGAGGTAGAGTTGGATGGGATTATTAAGGACCGAATTCTCAATAGATTTAGTGAAATATACAAGTTACTGAAGTTTGTAGAAACGAACTGGTAAGTAAGTGTTTTCTCATATATTTGTTTTTTAAGGATAAACCCAACTACAGGTAAAACTGCTGGAAGGGTAGGCAAGAAATTGTTAATGGGTTACTTCTAGGGACAAGGAATGTGGGGTGGAAGAGGGATTCTTCCCTTCTGCCATCCATACTGTGAATTTCCTTGGCAGAAATACTTATCTCTTCTCTGGCAGTAAAATCAATGAATTACTAAAAGTTCACTAATATACTCTTTGGTCCAACTATTCCACTTTCAAGGAACTAAAAAAGCAAAGGAAATACAGAGATATACAGAAGATTCTATACAGAGATATTCACGGAGCATCATTTTTATCACCAAAACTGTGCTCCATAGAAAAGAATTAAACTGTATTCTGGTAAATTTACACACAGCGATTTTAAGTGGCTAATAAAAATGCTGTATGATTTTAACTTTAAAGGAAAAAATCTGCAAGATGTGGTTAATTACCAAAAGGTGTTTACCTAAGGAGCACACAGACTTTAATACCCCAAATTAAACTTTGATTATACTCAAGGAGTTATCAGTGATTGCTTGCTACACTGAGAAGCTGCTTTACGTGTTTTAGATTCCCTAGACCATCAACAGTCTCTTTTCGCCCGGCAGTGCAACATAAACATAATATACGAATGAAAACACTGTGCTTATGAAAATACACATTCAAAACAAGTTCCCAGCAGGAAGACTGAAGGTGACTGTGGCAGTACCCTGACTTAGGTTAGAGATTTTCAAATCTGGCTCACCTGGAGAGCCGTTAAACAATGCGGGTTCCCAGTGTCCCACAGAGATCTTTGTTTTTCAGGTTCCCAAGGGATCCTAATGTCTGGTTTAGGTTTTGTAGGTGATTTTAACATATTTTAAGGATTCCGTCATCCCCCTCTCTCCTCAAAGGCCTCTATCTGCAATACCAGTTTCTCTCTGGATCCTGAATCGTTAATTTCCACCAGACACCACATGCTCTCAGAGCTCCTGCAGTTACCACTCCTTTGCTCAGCACCTCTTGGCCCTGAAAATGCCTCCTGATAGAGCAGTCTACTGTCGCTGACTCAATGGTCTTACCATACATTCTCTCCTGCTAACATATATGCCCCAAAGGCTTCCATCCCTTCCAAACCCACTGAAATTGCTTGACAAATTTCAGCAATTCCTTATGTGACCAAGAAACTTGCTCTTAATCTCACTTTATCTCTCAGTAATACTCAACATCCTCATTAAAACAAGCAAACAAAAACAAAATCGCACGCTATCTTATTTTTGGTGACAATTACATGGTCCTGGTTTCCGCCCCCCTATCAGTGGTCTCTTCTCAGTCATAAATGGCTTCTGCTCTGCTCACCATCTATACACTGGAGGGTCTTGCCTCAGAACTTAGTCACTAGTCTTCTCCATCAATGTCCACTCCCTAGGTAACAACCCTTCCCTCCTCACCTAGTCACATAATTTAAATGCCACCTGCATACCAATGGTTTCCAAATTCCAATCCTCTGTCACAGGACGGTCCACAAAAGTGCAGTCTTTTGCTTGGAAACTGACTGATCCCCTTGGATGTCTATCAGGTAACTCAAAGCATTTCAAACAAATATTAATTTCCCCTTTCCCCATTTCTATAAACAGTACCAGTTGCTGAAGCCAAAAACAAAAACCAACAAAAATAAAAACAAACAAACAAAAAAGCCTCACGATTGTTCTCGTTCCTTTTTTCCTTACCACCAGCATCCAATTTATCAGCAAGTCTTGCTGACCCTATCTAAGGCAAATCCCAAATTTGTCCCATGATTTCCCTTTCCATGGTAGTCCTAAGGAACATTATCTTCCTACAAAAACCCTTCTTCCATTCCAAACCCTTCCTCCAGTATTAAGGGTGATCTTGCAAAGCAAAAAAGATGTCATGTTTCAGCTTGAATGACCTCCTGCCCCCCATCCCAACTGCATTTAAAGTCCAAAAGCCCAAAATTAGAAGAGCCAACATTATCTTTTGTCTTAGAGGACAATTAAATAGGTGCTGTAAAATTTCACAATCTTTTCCTTCAATGCCTAATTTAAGAAATTCTTCCCCACACTGATGTCATAAAGATACTCAAATAGCTGTGCATTTTAGTTTTCTTTATGGTTATTTTTGCCTATGTTCTGTGTTAGGGATCTAATTTTCCCCTGACTTTGTATCATATTTCTGTATATGAGCAGGTCTGTGCTTGAACTCTCTATCTCTGTGCATTAAGGCACCATATTATTACAGCTTTACAGTATCTCGGTATCTGAAAGGGTGACTGCCCTGCCTTGTTTTTCAAAGTGTCTGGCCCTACCTTGTCTTTCAAAATTATCTGACTCTTAGCCCACTATCTTTCAAATGATTTTTAGAAGCAGCTTTTAAAGTCTGATGAACTATCCTATTGAGATTCTGACATTTTATTAAATCCACACAGCAATTTAGAGAAACTGAAAACATTATATCAAGATCTCTCATCTTTGACCATCCTCTCTATCAGTATTTACTCGTATCTCTTATGGCCATCAATGATACACTGTAATTTTTTTTCCTATAAAGGCCTTATTTGACTTTAGGAGGTCCTTTTTTCCCCCCATTAATTGTATAATTGGTTATTTAATAGTTTCAGAATTACAAAAAAGTTGCAAAGATAGTACAAAACTTCCCCACCCCATTTTCCCTGATGTTAATACCTTCCGTAACCTTGCTACTTTGTCAAAAAGAAGAGATAATTAGCAGAAAACAAACTACAGACTTTATTTTGATTTCACCCATTTTTCCATTACTATCTTCCTTCTGTTCCAGGATCTCAGTCTGGACACAGCATTACACTTAGTGATTAAATCTCCTTAGGCTCCCCAAGGCTGTGACAGCTTCTCAGTATTTTGTAGAATACTCAGTTTGTTTGATATTTTCTCACAACTTGATTTGGGTTATGAATTTTTTAGAAGAGTATCTGCTATTGCCTTTTTTTTTTTTTTTTGAGACATAGTCCGGCTCTGTCACCCAAGCTAGCAATGCAATGGCTCAATCTCAGCTCACTGCAACTTCCTCCCAGGTTCAAACAATTCTCCTGCCTCAGCCTCCTGAGTAACTGGGATTACAGGCATGTGCCATCATGCTCGGCTAATTTTTGTATTTTTAGTAGAGACAGAGTTTCACCATGTTGGCCAGGCTGGTCTCGAACTCCTGACCTTGTGATCAGCCTACCCTGCCCTCCCAAAGTGCTGGGATTACATGCATAAGCCACTGCACCTGGCCTGCTATTGCTTTTTATATGCTGACTTTGGATCCAGTGAACTTGTTGACTTTTTTTTTCTACAGAAAAAAATGTTCCTATATCTTTAAAATATTAACATGCTAATTAATGACTTCATTTTTACTTTCATTGACAATCGTATCTCACTTCATTAACATAATGCATTGGCTAGGACTTCTGGGGTGATATTGAACAAGTCTTGTCCTATATTTGAAAGGGGATACTCATCTTTACTAAGAAGTAAAAACGTTCATTGCAAACTTGTTTTGTACAGTCTCTTTATTGGGGGTTAAGGAAATTCCCTTAAGTTCTAGGTTTTAAAATTTTTATCATAAGTTTAATTTTATATAATGACTTCTCTGCATCCACTGGGAAGATTATATTATTTAACATCATCTGATGATATGGTGAATAAAGCAGGTTTTATGTTGAAAACTGTATTCCTAAACCCTGCTTGATCTTGATTATGAGGATCTGATTAATATACACATGCAGCTGGGTACTACTGAGTTATACTTTTCCATTACACTATCCTTGTCTGGTTTTGCTACCAAGGTTATAACAGCCTTATAGAATGATTTGGATTGTTATCCTACTTCTTATATTCTCTACCATAGTTTATAATCTCCTCTCCATTGAGAATTATGCCCCTTTTTCTATTACTAATATTATTAATCTATCCATGGTTTCTCCATCAGTTTTGCTAAAGATTTGCCAGTTCTGTCTTTTGAAAATGACTTGATTTTGTTGACTATATTCTTCCTTCTTTTCCATGTAATTAATTTCTGTTCTTTTTCTAGTTCTTTCTTGTTCAGTTCTGTATTTCACTGTTTCCGTTTCCATTAGATTTCCTCTTTGCGACATGAAGAAACGTGTTTAGGGGTCAAAGATCTTGGGGG